TATGAAGTATTCGCGTTATTATTATTCAATATTTTTATTAATAATAATGGTAAATATAAGAAAAACATGACAGAAAAAAAAGTTGACTTTTATAAAAAATATATTAATTTATAATTTGTAATTTATAATTTTTAATTTATACTTTATAATTTTTTGTCGTTATATTCTTTTTGAAAAGAATTTCAAAGTGAGTTTAAATTTTTTAAATAAAATGCTATAAATTTTTTTATAATTTTATGAGAGCGTACTTTAAAACAATACTAATATTAGAATAATATTATATGAGGTCATGAATGAGATAAATAATTCAATCATTTCGTAATATTTTATTCATTAATTTATCTTATTTGATAAATTATTGATAAATCTTTTAAATATTATCGTTATTATTTTGTTACTATTTATCGCAATATTTGTTTATAAATCCGAAATTTTATATAACAAATTTATAAATAAATGAGCAAAATCTGTGAAATGGTCATCAAGATTTTTAAATATTTATAGTACATTGATACAAATATAAATTTAAAAACAAAAATAAAGAAAATATATGCGTTAATATAAAAATTACCATTCGTTTAACGAATTTTAATTATTTATAAATTAATAAATAAACTGTCAATCATCATTTTTATATATCAATGTTTGTGTTTTTATCCTCCACAAATATATTGATATCTTGTATAGACTAATATAATATCTTAAGTAATAATAATATCTAAGTATTTTAACAAATTTAGCAGTAATCGAATATTATTTTAAATAATAATAATAAATATAAAAAAGTACTATTTACTTATGAAATTAAATATTAAATGAAATTATTTTCAAATAATCTTTGCTTATAAAAATATTCTAGTTTTTACTATTTTATCTCAAATTTTTCTCAATTCTGCTATTCGAGTACTTCTAATAATTTACTATCATCATATATTTACAACTATTAGTCTTATGAATATCATTCGCCAATTCTCATATTATTTTTTTTCATTTTATCGGATTTTTGATAATTGCAAGGATATTGAAATATATCATACTATTGAAATTTTACTATGTAAGATACTATACAGAGAACAATATAAATATATTCGTGATAGTTATAATTTAATAATATTCAAATGGTTATAGTTGGTATTATATCTGGCGAATTACCAGGTATGGCGGATTACTGGATGTAGGGATGTTATTCGAATTGTATATTCTTCCTGAATATATAAGTATATAATAAAAATATAATATTCAAGCATACAGTCAATAATAAAAGTTTGCATATATTTTAGCGAACTTAACTAACAAATCATATTAATAAAATTAATAAGAATTTTGTTTTTAATAGAATTTTGTGCATATACGTAGAACATAACTTATATATATATATATATATATATATATATTTATTATATCTATATATATTTTTAAATATAA